ATGAATGTAACTGTATTGTATACCTAAAATGTACCAATAAAGTTAATGGGGGAAAAAAAAAAAAAGAATGAACCAGAATTATCTGCAAAAGCTTTTCAAGGAGAGTGAGACTTAAGCTAGACCTTGAAGAATGGGAAAGTTTCGGGAAGGCTCAAATGATTCTAGGCAGGGAGAACAACATGAACAACAACAACAACAAAAATATGCAGCAAATGTATAACATCTTGAGTTTCAGCCAGAAATCTAAGTTGGTTCCCCAAACAACCATTTGGAATTCAATCTTCTCATCAAAATAAACTTCTATGCTTTTTTGTCTTGAAGTTTTAGCTGCCCTAGACAGAGTCTTTTAGGCTAGTTATGTGGAGCAAACAGGGAAACTAAGCAACTCCCTTTTCCCAAATATGAGGTTTATCTTTTCAGAAATCCAGCTCAACAAAATACAGTTTAAACATATTCCAGCTTCATGGCTTCCTTTTCTTTATTTTTCTGAGTTTTAAAAGAACATCATTGTTTCTCAATGAGATCAATATTTTGTTAGAGAGAACAACTCGAAGAAGGGTCTAGGTACTAATTTTGCTATTAAAACAATAAAGTAAGAATTTTTTCCCGAAGAAACTGGGGTTTCAAATTTTAAATTCACACACTCGATAAGGAGCTTTAATTTTAATGTTCAGGCTATGAGCCCCAATGGTAGCCATAACAATAGTACTTATCCAAATATGCATATCCTTAATCCAGGAAGGAACTTCTATGAATCGGTCTCACAGTCACACTATGTACAGTGTATATACAAGTATTTTATTGCACCAGTGTTCATAATAGGAAAAAACTAGAACTCTCCTATGACCCTTGATAGTGAATTGTATAATGAATACATTTGTCTTAGTCCAGATGGGCTGCTATAATAAAGCACTATAAATTGAGTGGCTTATAAACAATAGAGACTTATTACTCACAGGTCTGAAGGTTGGAAGTCTAAGATCAGGGTGCCAGCACGGGTGAGTTCTAGTGCAAGCCCTCTTCCACAATGCAAACAGCAGTAGCTGCATCCTCACATGGTGCGAGTGGCAAGGCAGCTCTCTGGGGCCTCTTTTCTAAATACGAATCTCATTCATAAGGACTCTACCCTCATGACTTAATTATTTCCCAAAGGCCCCAAATCATAATACCATCATCTTGGGGTTAGGATTTTAACGTGTGAATTTCTGGCAGAAGAAAAGTCAGTCCATTGTACAACCGAATATCACACAACATTGGAAGAGAATTAGATAGGACTAGTGTCATAACAACTGATTATATTAGCATCCTATTTCTCCGTAAAGAATCAGGCATCATAACTTTATGCAGAGGATTAAAGAAATAAGAGTTTTCCAAAAGCTACATCACTTGGAAGGTAATAGAGTAATGATGTTAGCTATATGAGCAACAAAGCCAGATGATCTTGGTTCGGATCTCAGCTCTGCCCTCCATGTGACTTTGGTCTAGTTATTCACAACCCATAAACTGTAGTTGTTATTAGCTATATCCCTTCTGCAACATTCTTAGGAGAAATTAAATAAGACAATACATGCACAATACCTACAAAGAGAAGGAACCCAATAAATGCAATAAATGTCACCTACTCCTATGATGTACATCTAGAAGGGATCTTAGAGCCTTGCTAGTCTAAGTGTAGTTGGAGGAGAGGCAACAGCAGCATCCCCTGGATGGTTATTGAAATGAAGAAGCTCAGGCCCCACTCCAAACCTATTAAATCACAATCTGCATTTTAACAGAACCTCCAGATAATATGTATGCATGTTTAAATTTGAGACTACTAGGTATGGGGTATGGACCAAGATTCTACATTTCTAAGAAGCTTTCAGAGGATGTTGCTGCTTCGGGATCATTAGCGCATCAAAGTTTGAGAAGTGCTATTTTAAAGAATGCACAGTTCTGCACCCTCATTCTACAGATGGAGAAACTGAGTTCTGCAAATGTGGCTAACTTGTTCAAGTCACACACTACTCTATAGTAAATCTGAGACTCAAACCCTGTGTTCCTTACTATGAACCTTATACTTTGAACAGCAGTTTTGGTCACAAATAGACCAGTGCAGTTCTACAAGAGCACAGTGGATGATTTGAAATGGACTCACTGTGGGATTCTGAGATTCTGTACACATGTCAAGGTAAGTGAGACCCTAAATGGTTGTTTTAATGAATGCAATGTTATAATTCACGCAGAGTCACTGTTGTACCTAGCAAATTCATAATTAGAGGTAATTTTGCACCTGCTGTCACAGGAAGATGGCATTTCCATTAATTTAGCTTGATTCCTTGATTATACTGTGGGAGCAGCAGAAGACAAGGCAATCTCTCACTCTGCTCCTGGAGAAAACATAGCCTTTAGTCTGTGGTTATGATTAATAAATCCATGTAGTATCATTGGAATCATCAGCCACCGTGTCTTATGGCACTGATGCTGTTTTCTGCAGAGTGAGAACGTTTCTCACCATCCAATCTATTGCAAAAATGGCAAGGATAACTGAATTCTTTTAATATAAAAAATCCCAAGAATGTCTCCAAATTAAAGATGAGGTCAGGAACAACAATGGTCAGGGGGTACAAGAAACAGAAAACTTCCTGCTTACGAGGAAAAGGAGGACAAGAACAGGAAACCAATAAGGTAACATAATCATTGAAACAACTATTAATCTCAGACCACTAAGTCAGTATTGCAAGAAAATTAATGTTATTTTGCTATCACTACATTGGCTTTCTAGTAAGGCTCCACTTTGGTAATTTGAGATTCTTCCCTTTTCCCCCCATGGGTTGAGTTAGATCTGGGTGGCTGATCTACAACCAAATCATTACAGGAGAAAGTGGCTCAGATACACTGACATTCACTGAGAGGTCCCGTGTGGTGCTGAACATCAATCCCTGGTGGTCATGGGTATGTTCTCTCCTGTCTGCAATTGCAAGATTCTCCTGGTCCAGTGCTCTTTTGGTGGCTCTGACACTCAGGCCTTTTTATGCTGCTCTGTGCCAGCCAAAGGGTGGAAGGTTGGGTGAAGCCAATCCCCTAGACTAGTGATGGCGAACCTATGGCACCCAAGTTATTTGTTTTTCTTTTAAAACAAAAGATGTTGATGTATGGTTGTTGTTTTTCTTTTAAACTAAAACCTCAATAAGTTCAGGTTTAATTGCAATGATGATACTTCAATAAATAAGTGGGTTTTGGGCTGCAATTTGGGCACTCGTCTCTAAAAAGTTTGCCATCACTACAGACCCACCACAAGGCCACTACTTCCTCTCCTGTGTCATTCAGGAAGGGTTTGTGCTACGGTTTGAATTTTCCCTACAAAACTCATGTTGAAATTTAATTGCCATTGTGGCAGTATGAAGAGGTGAGACCTTTAAGGGGTGATTAGGCCAGAAAGGCTCTGCCCTCATCAATGGGTTAATACCAGTATGATAGGAGTGGGCTCCTGATAAAGGAAAAGTTCAACCCCTATACTCTCTGCTTACTTGCCCTTCTGCAACATTATGACACAGCATAGAGACCCTGGCCTGAAGCCAGTGCCATGTTCTTGACCTTCCCAGCCTCCAGAACTATGCCCCAAATAAACTCCTATTGTTTACAAATTACCCAATTTGTGGTGTCTGGGTACAGCAGTAGAATAATGAACTAATAAAGTATGGAAAGTGGTGAGGTTTTCCCAGCTGAAGATTCATGACCTTCGCTGAAGTCGTGGCCATCCTGAGCATCTCATTTCCCCCTCAGTGTTGATCCCAGCAGAGGGAACATTGGAGTTCTGGCTATGTGAAACCTATTAGGCATCCTAGGGAAGAGGCAAGAGGAAGGAGGGGAAGGTAAAAGAATGACCTGGGACAAGTTCCTTAATGTGCCTGTCCCAATTCTGTCCACACTCAGTTCTGGCATTCTTTTCAGTGATTGGATAGATTCCATCATGGAAAGCACCTTCCCTTATCACCTTAATCTTTTGCTGATGAAATGTTAGGTCTTTTTCACTTTTTCCTACTTTATACAAAGCTACAGTTTTTAGAAAGTATCTGATCAGGCTCTTGTCTTATCACCAAAGACTGTGAGGTTATAAAACTAAAGACCTGGAACCACCCACAGCTTCACACCATAACCATACATATGTTTTCTCCTGGCTGCTTCTTTGGAAGGAGTACACCACAGATGTCAAGAAAACACACTTTAGAATGGGAAGACCCAAGTGCACACCACAAGTCTGCCACTGACTGGTTGTGTGATCTTGAGCAAGCGCCCTGCTATCTCCCAACTTCAGTTTCCTCACCAGTAAGACAAAAATAAACAATACCTACTTCCCAGGGTGTGGCAAAGCCAAAATAAGATGTTATAAGTAAAACACATCTGTATTAGCCACCTTTCCATCATTGGGACAAAATACCCAACACCCACAACTTAAGAGAAAAGAAATATAATTTGACTCACAATTTCAGAGGATTTAGTCCATGGTTGTTGACTCTAAGGCAGAATTGGCATGGTAGAAGGGTCTGGCAGAGGAAAGTTGTTCAATCCATAGCATCTAGGAAGAGAGAGAGAAGGGAGAAGCTGGGGAGAGAGACATACCCTTCAAAGGCATATCTTTAGTGACATACCTCCCCCAACCAGTCCCCACCCCCTAATGGCACATCTAACCATGAACTCATCAATAAATTAATCCACTGATGAGCATAGTACCCCTATTACCTTCCAAAAATCCCACCTCTGAATACATAAGACTTTTAGGGGACATTTTAGATCTAAACCATAACAATAGATAACATGTTTAGCACATGTACAGTACATGGCTATCAGCAAACACTCAAATAATGATTTATTGCTGCTGATGATGATCATGATGTTGACAATGGTGATAATTCTGAATTGAATAGGGAAAACAAAGAGGAAGAATTTACCAAAATTTATCATTCATTGGCACACTCATCAGGGAGTGGTCTATACCTGTTCAAAAGTAGCTGTGTAAGATGAATGGCCTTTAAGGAAGAAAGAATAAACCTCACCTGCCCAGCCCAAGCTCCAGTTCCTTTCTTCATTGCCTCACCTCCAGGAAAAGGGAAGCCCATCTGGCGAAGCTCATGAAGACTGTGAAATGTGCCAAAAAGGCAAATTACCACTCAGGTGTGTTAAACTCATGATAACTTGCTAGTGTAAACACAAAGTCAATATGAATTCCCAATGAAATGTAATTAACTGTAAGCTATTTTAGTAAATGTGAGATTTTGTTATACATGAGAAAAAGGCATAATGACTTGAAGCCAGACTATAGTCCAAAAGGATGTGTATTATATGGAGTTAGGGGGTTTGCTTTTTACAAGTAAGTTCAAGTAGCAACGTGTCAGGCATAAAATTATGGGAAACATAATTACAGGATAGAATTTTTTTGTAGTGTTGTGATGTTGCTATTTTTTAAAAGATTTTCTTTTTTCATTCTATTTGCTTCTCCCGAGGTTCAAACTACAATTGAAATTGGTATTAAAAGACAATCATTACCCCAAGCCCAGAGGACAGAATACTCAGCATGTTGTATATGAGGCACTTGATTTCAAGTGGTGTTAAGAGGGTTTCTAATTACTCAGTTTTGGGCTCAGGTATCACCTTCCTCACAAAACAGCGAGGGAAGAACTGCTTTCTAACTGGATTAGATAACTTCCCCCACCACCAGCCCTATGACCGGGAGCCATTTTGCCTCACAGGAAAGCTATTTTAAACTAGCTCATTAGGGAAGGTGAGGAGAAGAGCTATTTAGAGTTCCCCCAGGCCTACGGGGAGCAAGAGAAGGGGAAAGAAGACAACTTTCATCAGTAGCCAATATCTCCACCTTTTCCCTATCAACTGCTTGTCACAAACACAGTATGTTATGCAAGCTATCTGGAAGACAATGATGAGAAGAGGATAAATTAGAGCAGAAGCTTTGGAGTTGATCGCAAAGATGAGAGCTCCAATCCCAGGCCTGTGGCTGAATGTCCCCACTAGAACTCATGCTGAAACTTACTCTATATTGTGTGGTATTAAGAGGATGGAAATTTAATCCAAATAGGAAAAGGGAACTATTTTAGCTTTCCCATTCCTGGGACACAATAACCCACACTCACAACTTAAATAAAGAAAGGTTTAATTTAACTTAGTTTCAGGGGATTCCGTCCATGGCCAGCTGGCTCCCAGGCAGGAACATCATGGTGGAAGGCCGTGACAGAACAAAGATATTTAGTTCGTGGCAGCTGGAAAGAAGAGGAGGGGAACAGAGCCAGAGAGGAAAGGGCAAGAGACCAAATATAGTACCCAATGTCATACCTCATGACTCCCCAGACACACCCAGAATTGCGCTCCACCAATTCCTGGAAGTTCCTAAACCAATCAAACCAACACAATGATGCTTAACCACCATGGGACCTTTGGAGATAGTTAAGGTAAATGATTCCATAAGGCTGGGCCCTCATCCAATGGAATCTGGGTTTATAAGAAGAAGAGAAACCTAAGCTAGGACATTAGGTCTCTTTCTAACCATATGATGCCCTGTGCTGCCTTGGGACTCTGCAGAGTCCCTACCTCACTATATACAGTCATCTGATCTTGAACTTACAGCCATCAGCACTATAGGCCTAACAGATCTTTATTCTTTATAAATTACCCACTCTATGGTGTTCAGTTATAACAACATAGAAAAGACTAAGGCTCCAAGCTTGGGCACACATAGCTTAGGCAAGTCCTTCAGAAAGTTTAAACTCACTTTACCTATCTTTGAATAGGGTATATTAATATTTATTTTTCCCAGAGGATTTGTTTGAGAATTAAATTTTTTTAAAAAGGTACATAAAGGTCTTGGCACAGTGTTTGGCACTCAGTAAATGCTGATAGGGGTGACTACAGTTTAGCATTATAATGAGAGCCCTTCTCTCCTCTATCCACTAATATAAAGTCATATAATGACTTGATTTTTCTTATAGTATCCCCTCACTAACATGCCTTCAGTCACACTCAACTTTACCACTTGATTCTGTGACAGCCCCAAGTTTTCACAAGCCCTGACCACTCTGCTTTTTGCTCTAGCATCTACCACCCCACCTCAAACCCACAGCATAAACTTCCTTTATAACTCTTGTCCATCCTTCAAGGATAGTAGACTCCCCTGTCTGAGATTCACTTTCCCTAGTTTCAGTTACCCAAGAACAAACATGACCCATAAAAAATCCAGAAAATTTCAGAAACCAGCAATTCAAAAACTTAGTTATGCACTATTCTAAGCAGTGTGATAAATCTGAAATCGTCCCATTCCATCCTGTCCAGAATGTGAATCTTCCTTTTGTCTTTTGTATCCACACTGAATATGTTACCCACCCATTAATCATTTACTAGCCATCTTGTTTATCAGATTGCCTATCCACACATCAAATCCAATGCCAATGTTCAAGCAACCCTTATGTGGTAGCCTAACACTACATCAAAATACCTACATTATCACCACCTCATCATGTAGGCATTGTTTCATTTCACATAATCATGAGAAGGGTGACTAAATACAATAAGGTATTTTGAGAGAGAAAGGCACATTCACCTAACTTTTAATACAGTACATTGTTATAATTGTTCTATTTTCTTATTATTATTGTTAATCTCCTCCTGTGTCTACTTTATAAATTACATTTTAACATAAATATACACGAAAAAATAGTATATATAGTATTCAGTACTATCTGAGGTTTCAGGCATCCTCTAGGGGTCTTAGCATGTATCCACTGCAGAAAAGGAGAGAGTGTTGTACCTATGCTGAAAACATAAAAGGCAGCAGAAATTTCAGAGGATTGAAAGTCAGACAGATGATGCATTCTGAGTCCTGAAAGAGCCAAATTGAAGGTGACCAACAGGGCTGGGGCTCAGTTTCATGGGGAACGAAGGGACAGCGGTGAAGAAAGTCAGAACTCACTTCATGGGCCAGTGCCCTCCCCAGTCACACATAGCCTCAAGTTCAAGGAGCCTTGCACTTCGTCCAATGCTGTTCCGTAGGCATCTTAAAATTCTTAATACATTGAAAGGGACCATACATTTATATTTTGCACTGGACCCCACAAGTTATATAATTGGCCCTGCAAAGAAGGAAGAAGGTACAGAGATGAAAGCTAAGCTAGCTTCTTTTCCTAGTTCTAGAATATTCTAGACAGGTGATCTTACATAAAGTTGCCATTTATTCTACACACATTTTATTGACTGGATCCAGAAGGCCAGTCTCAGTGTCCTCCTGGATAAAATGGTTATGATGACTATATCTTATCTCAAGGACTGTTTTGAAGACTAAGAGCATGCATTAACCCATATGGCACCATGATAGCACATAGTAAGTGCACAATAAATACCAACTATTGTTAGTAAGAAGAAAATAACTCCAGGGGTTGGGGTAGGAAAGAAAAATACAGCTACCAGCAGAGTATGAGAACAAGGGGTTACCCTTTCTTTTAAAATCAGAGCACATATTTTTAAGCACCTGAAATATACAAAACAATCTTCTCCTGAGGGTTGCATTTGTGTGTTGGGAAGCAGGGAGGTAGAATCACCTTCCCATACTATGATGCTATAAGTTATAGTGTGATAAAATCTGTAACTAAGGACCCAAGAAGTTGAAGGAGGGAGAAGTGGGTTCTCCTTTGGAGTAGTTCATAAGAACACTTAAGATCTGAGCATGCTCTAGAAAGAATGGTTAGGACTTTGAAAGCAGAAAAGGCACAGAAGGAGATCTGTGGAAGAAAAAACATGAACAAACCCCCAGAAAAGAGGAAATCAAAACAGTAGGTAGGAGACAGCAAAGGGCTATGGGACACAAATACAAATCTCAGTCTGAAAAATGCCGGCATGCTCCAGAAATGGGCATTTTCTTGGTTTTCTTTAAATCAACCTAAATTTGACTCCAAGCTCCCAGGCTTCTAGACCAACAGGAAAGCCAATCTCAGTCATTCCTGGAGCTCTCTGTGTGGCCACCCCAGATTGTTTCAAAGCTCTGGAGTTTCCAGAGCACCTCTGGCCAAAGGCCCTTGGTCTAGACTGGTTTCTCCTGAAACATCCCTTCCCCTTCTCCCCTGCAAGGTGCCTGGTTAGGGGCATGGTCAAAAATGCATCACTTAGAGAGCAGAGAGAAGCCAAGAACTCCAAGAAAGCTGAGAGAAGCCGCTGGATTTCTGCCACTGATGTTTTGTTAAACCTGGTTTCAACTTGGTATAAATATTAAGGGGCTCACAGAAAGTGTAGCTGAAGCTAACTAGCTCCCTGAGAGATCATGAAGCTTAATGTTTAAAGAGTCAGAATTCGTTCTGCATTCCAGTTTTACTTCTAATCAGATGTGTCACCTTTGGTAGTTACTTAATATCTCTGAAAATTGTGTTCTTTTTTTCCCCCATTAAATTTATTGGTACATTTTAGGTATAAAATACATTTACATACATCATTGGGATCTTGTATCATTACGTGAGTATCTTGGTTCTTATTTTTTTTCCCCTTCCCCTGCCCTCCCTTCACCCCCTCCACCCTTCCCTGTTTTGCAAAGATTTTGTTTACATTTTTTTTCCTTTTCTCATATTTTTTCGTTTCTTTCCTTTCCCCTACTTCTCCCACATCCCCTGCTCCTTTAGACCTTTACTTCCTATTACACAATATCAATTATGCATTTTTAAATTAAACTATCAAGACCTAGAAGACATTACCACAGATTTTACAGAATTTAAAAGGATATAGAAAGCATATT